TTTCAAATGTTACTATTACACAAACAAATTTCGCATTTCACAAAGTAGGAGAAAAGTAGGAGAAAAAAATTCTCATGTGAGAGCGATTTTTTAGTATATTTGTTGTTTTATCTGGGGCGTGTTTTAAAAATTGTTAAAAAATTGTTTGTGTAATGGCAAGCGCGCGTTGACAACGAACGTTGCTGTCTAATGGGCCCTTTACTTATTTGTTGCGCTACACTGTTGACATGCATGGTTGGTGCTGTAAATGTTATATGTACCATTTCCAAAATGTTTAGTATTTGCTTATTTAGTATGCGTTATTAAATAAATTATATTAAATCTATTTAGTAAATGTTTATTTAGTGTTTGTTATCAAGTAAATTATATTAAATACACTAGACTTTATGTAACACTTTGATAAAAAATTTTTTTTATCACCATTAGATTCTATTAGTTTATTTGAATTATATCATTTTATTATTATTTAATTCATATTTAAAATATTAAATATAAAATATAAATTCTATGATTTTAACAAAACAAAAATTGAAGGAATGTATTCCTGAAAGTTCAAAATTTGATCTAAGTCAACACTTTTCTAAAAGTCTTGAATAAAAGACTATATATTTATTTTGAAGAATCTATTTATATTACTAACAGCCAATCTCACTGTATCAAACATTTTAAAAATCTTAATATTATAAGTTTGTATAATCATTTCAAATAACATTTATTACGATTTTTATTCAAAAAAAAACTCCACTATAATGTTTAGTAGTAGGTAGCTAGGTAGGTAGGTAGATTGGAATGGCGTCCTTGTTTCCAAAAAAGAAATCCACTCGAGCTCAAATAATGGCCTATTGCATGTTTAGTATACATTGATAGCTCTTCGCCTTTTATTTTCGTAGATATCACATATGGAGATGTAACTTCGACTATCGTAAAGGCAATACGAGTAGTTAGTAGATAAACATAGTCTTTCATGATAAAATTTATTGTTACATTCTGAATTCATAGATAGTGTTAGTTCCTTCTGACCAAATTGTCTTACTTTTGATATAGATTTTAATACATGCGATCAATCATAGGCTTTTATGACTCCAAATACAAATCATATAAAAATGTTTACCTTACTTGTACGATTCTAAGATAGAATTCAAGTGAAGATATTATCTAGTCTACTATATATTTTGAATTCAGTTTTTTGAAGAAACTTTGGTTAACAGTTCGGTTAACCAAGTGTAGTTTTCTGATTGGACAAAATTAAATTGTTTTATGCGTTCCATTTTATAATGGGTAAGTAACCACAATGATGGCAGTGGCAACGGCACCAAAGGTAAAAACCAAAACAACCGCAACAGGATTTGTTTTTGTAAGCGGCGCTTTATTTACCTTTTTATGGTGAATGTTAGCAATTTTATGGTGGATTCCTTTATTATGTACTTAATAGAAAAGGACTGTGTTTCATCAAGCAAACAATGGCCTGCTTACAGCAAATAAATAAACGTACAAAATTGGGCTACAGGACAATTGTGCAAATAAGGAATAAAGAAATCAACGAATTTTCCGCTTGAAAGTAAGAGCTTAACCTGCTCCTGTTCCATCTGCTCCTTCTGCTACAGATGCTGCTACTGCTAACGATGTTGCTGAAGCTGTGATTGCTCGAGCTGTTATCTGTTGCCGCTGCTACAGCAGCTGCTGCTGTTGTCATTATAACTTCCAAAGTTGTACCTACCAATAAAACAACGTGAGTACATTGCTGTTGTTGTAAGTGCGAGTAGAACGGGGGATGTGGGCACTGGCACTGGCTGTGGCTGTGTCTAAAGCACATTGTTGCTTATTGCGTTTATTGAGCATATCCTTTACACGTGTGTTGGCTATAGAAGCGGCCCTCTGTACAGCAAGCACATTGTACATGTCCAATGGCTTGGGCGTTTAACAGGATATTTCTTTATTTGTTTGAAATTACTTTTATGACTGTGGTGTTATTAGCAAGGATAAGTGGATTCACTGGATCGTACTTGTGGTGGTCCTTTTTTACTGCTGTTGTGTCTTATTGCTTACGCGTTTATCAATCATTTTTGAATTTGATTTATTGTGTTGAAGAGGAGTCCAAATGGTTAGGCTTGCACAACAAGAAAAGGCAGCAAATAAAATATTTGATAGGATCTTTTAATATTTGTATTTATTTATTTTTTGTTTGGATTGCACATATTTTATAATGGAAACAAAATAGCACATCACAAATCAGTAGTAGCTCTTACGTCATTAAAAACGATACCAAACCTATAACTTGTAACTTTTGTTTAATCCTCGAAAGAGGCTAACAGAGAGGAAATAAATAAATTGAAAATATATATGGTATATATGAAAGTGAATGCGTATTACGTCAATTGAATTTATTCAATACTTGAACAGCTAATAATTTTATTTTATTAAAAATCAACGTTTAGCATAATAAAATCTATCAAATAATTAAAATGTACTACGAGGTATGAATAACAGAAAACCCAGTTAAATTGGAGAAATGGAATAACTTCTAATAAACTGCTGAACTATGATTATGGAGCAATAATTCCAATATTTTACTGGTATACAGAGCTTTCTATTTTATGGCTCCGATAATTAGCGTTAATAGAAAACATTTGTGATTTTGGTCAAATTTTTGTTTTAATATATTGATCTGGCTATTATTTGTGGAACTTAAATCATTTGAACGTTTTCTATGGGACATCTTACAGTACTATATCCTTTTGCGGTGATTTATAAAGACTTATCGCCACATAGTTTGCAATAAAGTAGTTATAACTTAATGGTAAGTTGGCTTGAAATTGTCAAGAATTTGGGGATTATCCATTCAAATACTATACTTTGCGTTATTCCACAACATAAAGTCAGTAATGAGAAATCATATAAAATCTTGGAAGTTTTTCGCGCAATAAAGTCTTGTGTAGCTTCTAATCATATATCTTTCATGTTTATATCTCATATTTCATGCCCCACATTTGATAATTATTATAAGTGATTATAGCGATCAGAATTGACGGTATATGTCACACCTTCGCCTTCGCCATACAGTGACTTTCTGTGGATGCAATGAATTTCAACTGCCCAAAATGAAGCAATGTTGTTTGTTGGCATACATACTATGGAAAAAGGCTTTGTCACTAAAGAAAATATAGTTAGAAATAAATCTACAGTGCTACCATTTTTAGATGTTAAGCAGTTGTAAATGAGATTCATATTGTGAATTAACAACTACGATTATAAACTGAACATATAATGCCTCGACTGTTATTTTTAATTGATATATGGAATTGAAATAGGACTACGAAATTGTAAACTTTAAATCTTTTCCGAAGTACAATTTTTCATCTGCTCTCAATGTATAACGAGCCATAATAGTTGATACTAATAGAATCAGTGGTTCTGTTTTTGTTTAAAAAATGAAAATGAAGAGAGAGGAGAGAGAGATTAAGAGAGACGTTCATTTTAAAAAGTGATTGCTTAACAGAGATTTATTATAGTCTATAAAATTATTTATAAAAAGTTAAAGTCCTACTACATAACTTGTGCTGAAAAATTCTTTAATATCTTTAACATTTACCAGAATATAGTGCTGTAGGGTAGAAAAAGACAGATAAGAGCGTACTCGAATGAATGACTATGAATTCCAATAACATGTATCGTTTTTTAATTACCACATGCTTAAGTGACTTTAATCTCAAAAATGAAACTTCAGTTTTTAAAGTTAAGATATCAAATTCTACAACAAAATTTTTTTTCATTGCATTTACATTGCTTGTATTGCTACGATTTTTTCAAATACGAGAAGTGTTCTTCCTTGACCTTAAAAACTTTTAATGTGGTTAGCTTAGATTTGTCAGCTGGTATTCTATTTTCCTTAACTTCCCTCAAAACAAGTGTTTTTTTCCTATACTTGAAGTCAATTGAATAAAAGTTTCAC